GCAACATTTTTTCTATAAAATTAATTTCTGCATTATCAGCAGTAGTACGAAAGATGAATGTAATGATAAAAAATAGATATGGTGAATACACCTACCCTCAAATACCCTCTACTATTTGTTCATGCTATTACAATAAACAAGAGTTTGTCCATAAAGGAATCCTTTAATACTCCAAATGCACTGTACATCAATCACTGGTGTTTTCACATGTGGCTGCCCATTTTGCATTAAAAAAGAAAACATTATTGGATGGCTATAAATAAAGTTATTTCACACTTGAATTTAAATCTGATTAACATAATTGTGTTTTCAACGCATTAATTCATTTATGATGACTCAGAGCCACATTTAGACATTTTCATTGGTAAAGTTAAGCTGCACTGTATCTGTACTGTTGCTTCCTGTACCACCTTCGTGTAATTACAAAATGCTGCCTGAAAAGAGTGCTTATGTAGGCATATTTACAAGATTGCCCTACTGTATCTATTATTTCAGGTAAATTAAACTGCATAATTCAGTGATAGCCACAGCACCTTTCCATCCAGCTGCTACTATAGTTAATAGTTCCAGTGAAGACAGAGATGTTTGGACATTTTTAACACTGAATATTAGATACAGTAAGTGTAAACTTTGTGAAGAAGCATAGTGGTATCATCTACCCTCTAAACTCAGTACTGAAAAATCTGTTTGGTAATGGAATCTTTTTGAGTACATAAAAATGCTTCTTTTACAAGATCCAATCACTTTTTAGGTTTTGCACAACAACAGTACATGGTTCCACCCACCCAGGGAATACAATGCTGTCAGAGATGTTCAATATGTATGCATGTAGATTTGTAGATATATCCACAGGTGCTTTTACCTATTACATGTGTTTGTGTTTAAATGCCCTCGTGTTTAAGAGCAGTATATAGTAGGAAGTTAAATAATACAAACCATAATACAGTATGTAGTATACTATAGATAGTCAGGTCATGTGTAACAAACCAAGATATTTTGTAAATGGGCATGAAGTGAATGTGGCTAGTGTTTCAAATCTTGCTCATTGTACAGAATAAATGCATTGTTATGAGGCTATGAGGATTACATTTTTAGAGCCATTTTTTTCAGTGAACCCAGCTTAAAATAATAAGGTATGCAGTTAAATAATGGAACTAAAGGTTTTTTTTAAATATTTTTCTTTAATACAACCATGTTTCAGATGTTTTTCCCTTTAGGCAGAAAATTGTATTTATCGCATGTTAACAGAAATAGGCCTATAGTTTCAGTCACTTTTTGTACTGTAGAGCAT